CCTACTTGTGCTCTGTACTATTGGCCCTTGTATTTTGGGCAAAGTTTCCCAAAAAGTTTTATTTTATATACAATAATTCTATTCCATTTCAACCGTGTGTCGACTAGGTACATATTTCTTGTGCTTACAATTATAATTAATACTTTTCTTACCAATATCACAATAATCACATTTTCTTATAAGTATTATCTAGTATACATTTTTGACAACCTTATTACTATATATATTCATCTAATTCATATTAGTTTTATTTTCTAACCACTGATAAAATAAATCCCATACCATATAATATTCTGTTTCTTCTTTTTCTTTCATTACCAATGTTAGTCTATTCATTTCTGCACATTCAAATATTTTCCTCAATTATTTTATTTTCTGTCGGTATCTTTTCGCTTTTCAAATTCTGAGCAAATACAATTCTAGCTGTTGTTAACACATATATAATTAAATATGGATGTTTTTTGCTGTTACCTTCAGGTACCATTCCTAATAAAAATATTTCAGGTTTCAAGTCTATATGTTGTTTAATCATTTTTTCCAACCTTGTGTGTATTTTTGTCCAATATCTTTTAGGATTTATACAAGACCCCCACATATGGTAGTATGTTCCCGGTGTTTGGTGACACTTCCAGTATTTGACTGATTTATCTTTAAACATCTTAGCTAATTTTGCTGTTGCAAAGTGCCAACTATAAAACATGTTATACAAGTTTTCTTTATATGCTGTCGATATTGTTAGTTTATAGTTTCTATCCCCTAGCTTCTGCCATTTATCTAGTTATATAGTATATCCAAATTTTTTGTCCATGCTATCATTGTTTCTTTAACTTGTTCTTCTTCTAATACCTAAAAAATAACAATATAATCTTTTAATCAGCTTATCTCCCATTCCTGTTAATATTTTATCTAACTCTGTCAACTCCTTATAAATATCTTCAGCTTTAATATCTTTTTCATATCTTGACTGTATTTGCATATATGAATACCAATGAATTCCCAACCTTGTTCATTCAATTCTTGTTTTGTTTTGAACTCACTCTTTTCTATATTCTTTATCAATTCTTTTTTTCTGTTTCTCTGTCATATTTTTTTTACCAATATCTTAGTTTTCCCTTTATTTTTAATCCAGCCATTTTCCCATATTCCTCTATTTTGTTTATTAGCTTGGTCCTGTTCCTAGAGGCTCTTCTAATATAAAAACTAAATCATCTGCAAATGCCTGTAATTTATACTCCTTTTTTCTTATTTCCATCCCTTTTATCTCCTTGTCTTTCCTAATATTTCTATTTAATACTTCTAATGTTAATACAAACCACAATGGTGACACAGCAGTGTCCTTTCTCGATATGTTTTTTTTCCATCAATTCTCCATTAACCATTACCTTTGCATATTGTTTGCAATATATTGTCCTAATCATATTAATAAACCTTTCTCCAAACTCCCTTTCTTCTATTTGTGTCAACATAAATTGCCAGTTCACATTGTCGAAGGCCTTCTGTGCGTATAAAAATATCAATGCCATTTGTTTTTCAGGATGTGCTTCATAGTATTCCAAAATGTTTAAAATTATTCTCATATTGTCCTTTATTTGTCTCCTAGGTAGGAAAAATGGGTACCACTTTGATTGGTTTCACGGGGGACACAAAAAGAGCCCCTGACTGGTTGTCCTATGGGCAATGGTGATGTCACTGACCAATCCTTCTACCATGGAAGTATCGGTAGTAGCAGTACTAAATACCCATTCAAGGCAATGGTTTGTAACCTTCAACTTGACTTTGAGTTGTATTTTGAAAATGACATTTACCCATCCATTGTCTTTCAGCCCATTGATTGGATGATTATGAACCATCATCAAACAATCTGTACAGGACCGTATGATGTGAATTGCACTGCTGATGCATGATGTGTTGGGTTGCCAACAATGCAATTAAAGCAGACATGTTGAAATCTGATGGGGCCACATAACACCTGCATACAATCAAGGGAGCATAAATAGCAATTTATTTTGAAGATGTTTAGGAAATGCCAGGGTAGCATAAGTAGCAATTAATTTGAAGATTGCAGGCCAATCTTCATGGCCAATAATATGACCTACAAGACTGAGGTGACCGGATGAAAACGAGCAAACTCTGTTTCTCGAAAGAGCAGCAACCAACTATTATCTGATATACAGAAATGTAGCACATATAGGCGCTGTGGGTGAAAAACAATCAAGATGGCAGCTGTGATTGTGTGGATAGAATTCCTTTTCCTTTCATATATGGATGGTGCAATGGATGTAGAAAATGGATGTGGCCACAGTTGCTATCTTAGTCATTCCTACATTTGGACATCATCCCTCTTCCCTGGATGCAACTATTAACACAGGCGACCATTTTAGCATGATGAGCTTTTCTTTATCATGATTGTTAAATGAGTAACTTTCCTATACAACAGTGCAAAATGGTGAAGAAGTCAAAATGGTGAAGAAGTCAAACGAGGGGTTAGAATTCAGTGCGGGTTGCTTTTCAAAAGAAGAAGATGACAAGGTTCATGGTTTAAATATTTATGATTTTGGTTTCTTGGGCACAGCTACATCGAAGGGTTGACATTGGGGGACCAATTTTTAAAGTTAGGTTAATCTAACCCTCGGTCAATTGGTGGTGATGGGGAGCTCGGAGGGGAACGAAGTGAAGAAGCAAACATAAAGGGGAAAAAAAGGATTAAATCAAACTTATTTTCCAGGAGAACTCTTCTGTCAAGTTTATTGACACTGAAAGGATCATGACATTTGAAATGTTCTTTCCATCTTTCCAAAAGAAATGTGGTGTTGGAGCAGTTGATTTATTCTTCCTTTTTAATCAAGGAGAAGTATAGTTCTAGGCTGGCACACTGGCAGAATTTCAAAAAAAATCAGGTTTTTTGTTCCTTAGACAGTAACATATACCTCGTTTTTTGAGTTCTGTTTATTCACTGCACCACACAGTGTAACAGCTTAGCCTTAGATGGTACTTTGCAACACACGTTCACACCAATCCCAAAAGTGCTTTTTCAAAAGCCAACTGGACTTTGTTTTTTCCTTGAAGACGTTTTGCTTCTCATCCAAGAAGCTTCTTCAATTCTTCATCCCAAAACTTCAGTTTAGTTTAGTTCTTCTCATCCAAGAAGCTGAAGAAAGAATCTTTTTGGATGAGAAGAACTGGACCAAACTGAAGTGGATGAAGAAGAACTAAGAAGCTTCTTGAACAAAAAGTGAAACAACTTCAAGGAAAAACAAAGACAGTCCAGCTGCCTTTGGGACAACCATGACCTGGATAATGGAGAATCTCCATAGTTGTTTTCATTAATCTTTTTCACTGGACATCTGACGCGGGATGATGGAATCAGCATCATCCAATATTTCCAGGAATGTTGATCTTGATCAGCAATTTAGAGTTTCCATTTGAAGAGATCTCATCTTATATTTTGGTCTCCTTTTTGAGTTTCACAGAAGTGAGCCAGCCCCAAATCCAGAAGACAATGGGAACTGTGGGAAATGAAGTTTTTTCGCCTCCCTCCCCCCAAAAACAGCTTGGGGGGGGGGACAACCTTTTTCACCTTCAAAAAGTGTTCACCCCATAAGCAAAGTTATAAAACGACAGTGAAGTGTGAGCAGCCTGTTCTAATTGCATTTGGCAAAGCTTAAAAGATTGTAAATGGATCCCCAGATTAATAAGAACACCCAGGATCCATCATTCAGGGGGCGGTGAAGAAGGGAAGAGAGGCTGTACCGAGATTGGGGTGGTGTGAGATGCGATTATTTTCCAGATCATATAAAGAACGAGAAAAGTAGAAAGATTTTTTTCAAGTTTCTTTGTTTTCGATCTAGAATTCTCGCGTGAATGGAGGAAGATTTGCCAACTGGGATATTATAGCAGCAGTTTATGACAATAAAAATTAAAATTAAACTCCTTTGCTGGATCTGTGGAAAGAATGACAAGAGAGTAAGATTTTAATTTTAAAAAGACAACCTCTGGTGTAAATCACCCGTAAGATCATTCATCTTGATTCTGTCTGGGCGAGAATAAAGTATAGGTAGTCCTCAACTTACAGCCATGCAAAGTTACAACAGCACTGAAAAAAAAGGGACTTGCTTTTCACACTTATGACCACTGAAACATTCCCACAGTCACATGATCAAAATTCAGATGCTTCCGTTTTCGTGACCTCCTGACAAGCAAAGTCAATGGGGAAGCCAGATTCACTTCACAGCTAGGTGACTAACTTAACACCTCCGGTGATTCACTTAACAATCGTGATAAGGAAGGTCATAAAACAGGGCAACGTCCACTTAACAAATGCCTCTTAGCAACAGAAAATTTGGGGCTCAGCTGTGATCATAAGTCAAGGATTACTTGTGTACATGGCCACGGTTAGTGTTTTTGACAGTTTTCACATATTTGGAGTAGATATCTTTCTGAAAAAAACAGCACAAAAGATCAGCAAGGAAACATATGTACATTCTACCTGGAAGCAATTGTATTAAGGGGGATGGCTCTTCTTCTTTTCTAAAAGCGATCTAGTAAAAAGAAAGATACAAAAACATTGCATTATTATCTATGATTTGCTTTCATCTCCTGCTCATTTTATGCAATAGCAAACACCCTGAGAGGTTTCCCCCCCCCTCTCCAAAATATAATTAAAGGAAAATGGAAACTGTCCCAAAAGAGCAAGCAAGAAACCACCAACCCTTCAAACAAAGAAACAAGGAGAAGGGAAATGGACAAATCCAAATATTAGACCGTCACCTAAATATCTTTGCCTGTGTTAAATATTTCCTGGCTTTGTCTATTTCTTCGACAAGCTTCTTCAAATCGTCTCCTTCAAACAAGGGGAAAACAGGATCCTGGGTAGAAAAAAAACCAACCAACCAAGAATGCAGGTTTTGTTTCGTTTTGTTTAAGTGAAGATCAATAAAATGACAATAAAAATTAAAATCATTAAAGAAAACAAAGGTCAAAAAATATCCCTCTTCCTTGGGAACTTCTGCTAGAAATGTAGGAAGCAAGAAATCTGTCCTGATAATATCTTTCTGGCCGCATATAAACAATCTTTGATTTAACACCTTACTTAATAATAATGACCTTACTTAATACCCTTTGATAGCAACATAAAGCACTTCCAGTCATTATAAAATATCATGTTGTTCCCTGTTGGTCACATGATTACATTTCAGGCCCTAGCAATGCCTGCTACTGGTTGCAGTATCATATACAGTCATCTAGCCGTGGTTTGAAATTCTTCTCTCTTTTTTTGGCCAGTTTTTGATTAAAAAAAAAAACCCTCCCTTCGATTTGGGAGAATGAAATTCGCTATTGCAGCCATGTGATTCAGACTTACGATGTGTGATTCGCTCAATGACTGCCATAAAGACGGTTGTAAGACCAGGTCCAGTTAATGGGGGTGCATCAACTTACGACTGTCATGACTTACAATTGGGAAATGCTGGCCCCGAATGCAGTCATAACTCGAGGCCTGTACAGACTGATAATAATTCAAAGAGGAAAAGGTAAGTCTAATGAAGATGGTATGAAGGATGAATGAGATGGGAGAATAAGAATCGTAGAGAGGCCATCACTGCCAGAAATGAAACTGCTAGACAAATAATAATATAATTTGTACTCCAAAAGTACTTTTCCAAAAGACAAATGGACTTTCTTCGTTTTTCCTTGAAGACATTTCACTTCTCATCCAAGAAGCTTCTTCAGTTCTTCAGAACTGAAGAAGCTTCTCACATGAGAAGCAAAATGTCTTCAAGGAAAAAAAATCAAGGAAAAAAAAGTCCAGTTGCCTTTTGAAAAAGCACTTTTGGGACACCCATGAGCTAGATCATTGAGTATTGTTAGGGATATACCCTAGCAAGATCTGCAGGGCAGTCAGGCAGGCAGGCAAAATATGTGAGATAAGTGTTTTTGTAGCTTACACTCAGTAAACCAGATACACAGTGCCTATTAAATAGTTTTATTCCAGCAAGAGTTAAAGCATAGTCAAAACAGTCCATATATCATTTACTTAGTTCAGTCCGTCCAGGGATTATTCATTTGCAAATTCCGGTGTCGAAAAAGAGAGGTCAGTACACTTACAAATTATCAGTCCGGTGATATATCTCTTCGCAGTAGAGAGATATGAAGAAAAAGCTCCTCTCTTCCTTCTGCAACTCTTCAGTAGGGAAAAACACGCAGCTAACAAACATCAACGTAATCCAATCCAGTAATTGTCAGTAATTGCCAGCAAACGTCAGGGAATCGTCAGGGTCTCGTCAGCAATCAACCAGGTTGTCTTGCTGCCTCTTATGGTGGTTTCACACCACACCCAAAATTACATGCTTTCCATTTAAAGTGACACACACTTAAACTAAACAATCATAGCTTATATATATTATTTTACCCAAACTACGTTAGGTGACCTATGTTATACCTAACATTCTCCCCTTTTGGGTAATATAATAATATATATATCTATTTACAACTTTAACCCATAGTCATCACAACTCTCTTTGTGTTTCACTGCACCTTGGGCTTTCGTGAACTGATCAGCAATATTTTGTTCAGTCATACAATATTCCAATCTTATTAAACCATCTTTTATAGATTGTCTTACATTCAGATATCTAAGATCTGTATGCTTAAATCTCGTTTTTACAGCAATATTTGTAGCCATCTGTATGGCTGCTTGATTGTCCTCATACACTACAATGGAATCATTAACAGTTAATCCCATATCCAACAACAACTGTTTATACAGAATTAAATCAGTACATAATAAAGATAGACATGAAAATTCTGCTTCCATTGTGGACATACTTATGTGTTGCTGTCTAATTGACCTCCAACCAATTAATGCTTTTCCTAGCAGTATAGCCATTCCTGAAGTTGATTTCTTAGTGTTTATATCTGTTGCAAAACTTGCATCAGCATATGCACTTAAAATCAAATCATCTTTTGGCTCCAAATACAATGCATAGTGCATTGTCCTTTTAAGATATCTTAAGATACGTTTTGCCGCTTGCCAGTGTCGTTCAGCGGGTTCAGCGTTGAAACGAGCCAATTGATTAACGCCATAGGCAATATCTGGCCTTGACCAATTACTAATGTACAATAGACTGCCAATTAGCGACTGATAGATAGTTTTATCAAATTTTGAACTCTGAGCATCAGTCCGGCAAAATTCCTGACTCATTGGAGTTTTTGCTGGTTTACAAAGTTCCATCTTATGTGTTTTTAGTAATTGATAAATCTTATCCTCTTGAGATATTTTATAGCCACCGTTGGTTTTATTTATTGTCAATCCTAGATACTGTTTTATCTCTCCTAATTGCTTTAATTTTATCCTCTTACCTAATAATGATATTATTTCAGTAGCTTCATTATTAGTTTTTGTAATTAAAGCAATATCATCTGTAAACAACAATAATAATGACACTATTCCATTTTTCTCTCTTTTAAATAAACATGGATCAGCTAAACCTGCTTTAAACCCTATATTGTTTAACTCCTTAACAATATATTGGTTCCATTCGTAACCAGATTGTTTTAATCCATAGAGACTCTTTTTAAGCTTCCAGCAGTCATTATTAGTTTTATCATCCTTAATCCCTACAGGTTTCTTTAGGTATGTAGTGTGCTGCAATGGTGCATGCAGATAGGCAGTTTCTACATCTAAATGGTTTATGATATAGTTTTTCTTAGCTGCCCACACTAAAGCTGCTCTCAAGGTTGTTGTTTTTAGACTCGGTGCAAACACTTCATCATAATCACATGCAGTTTGATTAAATCCTTGAGCTACCAACCTAGCCTTATGGGTAACAGTCCCATTTGTACCTGTTTTTAATTTAAATATCCATTTGCATCCAATGGACTTTTCACCTGGAGGTAATCTAGCATTCTCATAGACTCCCATCTGTTCTAATGAATTCAGTTCCTTTTGCATTGCTGTATGCCAGTTCTCCTGATCCTTCGCAGGATACAATTTTAGTTCTTCCACAGTGGTTGGAATTTTACTAATCTGGCACACCACACTTGCCTGATACCTATCAGGTGGTCTACTCTCTCTTGTTGACCGTCTAGGTAGTACAGGACTCACAGGTGGACTCTTATCTATCACCTGTTCCTGGTTATCTATTTCTTCTTCACTTATTTCTTCTTTAATTGGTCCTATTTTCTCTTCCTTTAATTCCTCTTTAATTGGACTTTTCTTATTACTAGTATGGTGGCTCGGGCCCCTGTAGGTTTCTATGATTACACTTTTATTCGAATCTTGTTCCAATTTGTGCCATCCTACATGTTCCAGGAATTGAGCACTAGCACTACAATAAATTCTAGTTGTGCCCTCTTCCCAGAACCTGTAAGATCTATGGTTTGATTCGTAACCTATAAAATATAATTTTTTAGCCCTATGCTGTCCCTTATGTCTCAGTTGTGTGGGAATATGCACCCATGCTGGTGCTCCAAATGTGTGCATATAGCTTAAGTCAGGTTTTCTACCATGCCACCGTGTGAATGGTAATTCACCTGTTGTTGAGTTAACAACATTATTCAATATATGATTACCACACATTGTTGCTTCTCCCCACAAATTCTCAGGTAATCCTGAATCTGACAACATAGTACGAGCCATTGCCTGCAGTGTTTGGCCTCGCCTTTCTACAAAGGAATTATGTTGTGGCCTATATGGTGCAGACCTTTTATGTTCTACACCTGCCATCTTCAGTCTATTTTGGAATTTATTATTTATAAATTCCGTACCATTATCAGTTACAAGAGTTACTAGTTTCCTTTTAGTTTTTCTCTCTGCAAACTTCAACCAATTAAAGAAATTCTGATATGTTTCCGTTTTACTCTTCATTAAATAACAGAAACCATATCTAGAATAATGATCCATTATACTTAATATATAACGAGCACCTCCCACACTTGGTTTTTTAGGACCTATAATATCAGCAAATACGACCTCTAGAGGCTCCTTAGTCTTAAATCCATTAATTCTATTTGCTGGTATTACCTTGCTTTTTTCTTGACTGCAAGCATTGCAGTGCAAATACTTACTGCAAGGCTTCAGTTTTATACCTTTAGACAGTTCAACCGTTTGCTTGAGCATTTTAAAATTTATATGCCCTAAACGTCTGTGTAACAAATGTATGCATTCATCATGAGGTTTAACGTTATTATACACTGTGTTAGCCACCTCTAATTGATTATCATTTAACACATACAATTCACCTTTTAAAGTTGCAGTCACTTTTTTACCTTCCTTTTCTATTATGCAGTTTTCTCCCCTAAAGGTAACTACATAACCTAGTTTAATCAAAACTCTAACTGAAAGCAAATTAAACTTAAGTTGTGGTACATATAACATTTTTACATTTTCTTTTATGCAAGAACAATATGCTGTACCTTCAGCTTTTGCTTTCAGTTTCCAACCATTCGCTAATGATATCTGCTGTGAACTCGTGGACATCTTAATAAATCTTTTCTTATCTTTTGTTATGCAGTGCGATGCTCCACTATCTACAACCCAAAAATTATTATTGTTCACAGTTTGGTTGCTATACATGGCTAACTCTAAGCATTTTTTATCCTTTTGATGCCTTTTTGCATTCTGGCTGGCATTTTGGAGTTTTTCTTTCTTGCAGAATCTGGCCAAATGTCCTTTTCTTCCACAATTAAAACATTTTCTAATTGTGTAGGCTGACGAAGATAATTCCTCTTCTTGTGGTTGTTCCCTTCTGAGTTGATCCCTTTCAAGCCTTCTCCTGGCTTCTTCAATTAACCTGCCAGTAATGTCAGTTAATGTGAGGTTATCCTTTGGCAGCACTTCCAATGAAGTTACATAGTCGTTGTAGCTCTCATGTAATGAAGACAAAATTATATAAACCTGATGTAGTTCAGTGAAGATAAGCTCTTTTTCATGCAGCTCCTGAAAAATCCTCTTCATAGTGTTTATATGAGTCAACATGTCTCCATTCTTTTGAAGATGTGTTCTGAACAGCTTCCGTGTAAGATTTATATGAGCTCCTACACTGTCTCGAACATAAATCTTCTTTAAATTCTCCCAGCACTTAGCAGCTGTTTCTTCTCCACGAATATGGACAAGCTGCTGGTCACAGAGTGACAGTCCTATTATACAGAGAGCTTGCTCATTTTTCAGTTTATATTCTTGTATTTTCTGGGCATCATCTTCATCCTCTGGATCCCAAGCATCTACCTCTGGTGGGTTTTGAATTATATTCCACAAACCTTCTCTGCGTAGAAGTAGGCTGCATTTCATAGACCATGAAACATAGTTTGTTCCATCCAGTTAGGATATTAGAGACAAACTTGGTAAATTGACTTGTGCCATCTTTCTCTGGATATTAAACTATAATTAATAAAACACAGCTGTCTGTTTACAGTATTGTGTAACTACACTAACTCTCACTTTATATAAGCCTGTTATATCCTGGTTAGTCTGACTGTGCAGCTGGGCCCATAACCAGTGTTAGGGATATACCCTAGCAAGATCTGCAGGGCAGTCAGGCAGGCAGGCAAAATATGTGAGATAAGTGTTTTTGTAGCTTACACTCAGTAAACCAGATACACAGTGCCTATTAAATAGTTTTATTCCAGCAAGAGTTAAAGCATAGTCAAAACAGTCCATATATCATTTACTTAGTTCAGTCCGTCCAGGGATTATTCATTTGCAAATTCCGGTGTCGAAAAAGAGAGGTCAGTACACTTACAAATTATCAGTCCGGTGATATATCTCTTCGCAGTAGAGAGATATGAAGAAAAAACTCCTCTGTTCCTTCTGCAACTCTTCAGTAGGGAAAAACACGCAGCTAACAAACATCAACGTAATCCAATCCAGTAATTGTCAGTAATTGCCAGCAAACGTCAGGGAATCGTCAGGATCTCGTCAGCAATCAACCAGGTTGTCTTGCTGCCTCTTATGGTGGTTTCACACCACACCCAAAATTACATGCTTTCCATTTAAAGTGACACACACTTAAACTAAACAATCATAGCTTATATATATTATTTTACCCAAACTACGTTAGGTGACCTATGTTATACCTAACAAGTATCTCCATAAACAATATAATCTGTAGTGGTTTTAATGTTTGTGAGCCACCCAGAGTCATCTCTGGATAAGATGGGAGGCAAATTAATTTAATAAATAAATCGAATGAATGAATGAATGAAAATGGTTGAAACAACAAGGGTCTGTTAAGACTTTGTGCTGTCCAAGGTCTTGACTAACTTCTAATGCAGGGGTTTTCAAACTTGGCAAGTTTAAGACTTGTGGACTTCAACTCCCAGAATTCCTGAGCTAACATGACTGGAGGAGGAATTCTGGGAGTTGAAGTCCACAAGTCTTAAAGCTGTGAAGTTTGAAGACCCCTGTTCTAATGCAACGTTTTTCAATCTTGACAACTTGAAGTTGTGTGGATTTCAACTTCCAGAATTTCCCAACCAGCAGATCACCAAGATTGAGAAAAACACTGATTGACAGTAAGTAGTTCTAATCATAATCCTATCTTGTGAGTGTTGCACAGTGGATTGCAGCGACTTCATTGTAAAATTATTGGGAAAGAAGATTAGCTCACAGATTCTGAGTTGGGTCAATGAGCGGTACCTCTTCATCTTTAAAGCCTTGCGAAAGCAGTTGGTGTGCGGCCAACTGTCCATCCACATCTCCATGGCAACGATGGTAGCGTCCACCGGTCTGGAAGGCGAGTTTCTTGAGAAAGTCATTGGCCACTCTATTGAAGGCAAAAAGGAGAAGGTTCCAATCGGGGATCGTTGGAGTTCAACCCTCAACGTTAAGTTCCAAGGGTCAGGAAGACTCAGAGAAGTTGGCCACTTGCTAAATTGGCCGTGCTGCAGAACCCTTTTTAAAAAATTTATATTGGCCCAGGGTTCAATTTGAAAAATCACTTTGGGAAGCCAAGCGAGAGTTACCTGTCTGTGCAATTGAAAGAAATGGTGTGGATGCTAACGGCGTGAATCTTCGTAAGTGCTTCGATTTCTTTGAGAATTAAGTTGCAACTGGTGTCAGGTTTTCCATCGGTCAAAATGTACAGGGCTTGTACATTTTCTAGACTAAGCGCTCTCTGAAAATGACAACAAACATACCTTGAATGAAACCAGAGATTAGACACTACAATCATCATCTTTTAATGACCGCATAATCCCTTGCGGGGTGGAATCTGGGCAACTGAATGTGGCTAGCAGAATGTTTACTGACCGGATGCCCTTCCTGTTGTCAATGCGGAGTTTTGTTCAACAGATAGATTCTCATTGCGCCCAGAGAGAGAAATACCTACCTAGGACCAAACTCACAGCCTCCTAATTGTGAGGCAAGAGCTCTGTCTCTAGGCCACCACACCACTCCAGCTTTGACATTACAACACTGTGATTGAAATGTTTAGTTCACTCACTGGGTCATTTGAGGAGAAACGCCTTGTTGAATGAATTAAATAAGATTTTCTCTGCGTGACCAACAGATAATCCTCCAGTTATGACAGTGATGGTGAACCTATGGCAGAGCCATGTGTGCAGGCACATGAGCCCCAGCCACTTACTGTGGTCTCCCAGGTGATTTTCGGCCTGTTTAAGGCTGTTTTCGCCCTCCTGGAGGCCTGAGGGAAGCCTCTGTACCCCGGGAGGCTGAAAAATGGGCCTTCCGGAAAAAACGGAAGTGTCAAAACAGGCCCATTTTCAGCCTCCTGAGGCTCCAGAGGCTTGCCTTGAGCCTCCGGAAGGACAAAAATGGCATCAAACAGGCTGAAAATCAGCTGGGAAGCACACGCATGTGCAGTTCAGGAAAGGGGGTGCGTGTGTGTGTTGTGCACACACGTGCAGAGTGCATTGCATTGTAGGTGCCGGCACATGCGTACTTTCAGCACACCGCAGCAAAAAGGTTCGCCATCACTGACTTATGACCACAATCGAAGTTGTGATTGGATAAAAGCTTTAAAGAAAGACGTATTTTGTCCATGGTTTAAATGCACAGGTGGTCCTCAGCTTACGACCACGACTGAGCCCAAAATTTCTCCAGCTACGGAAGTTGTTCAGTGAGCTTTGCGGCCTTTTACAACCTTTCTTGCCACCGTTATTAACTGAATCACTGCAGTGGTTAAGTCAGTCACATAGTCGTTAAGTGAATCTGGCTTCCCAAGTGACTTTGCTTGCTGCGGGGGGTGGTCACCAATGGTGGTCAAGTGATCCTGGGACACTGCAACCGTCATAAATACGAGTCAGTTGCACAGTTTGATCACGTGACCCTTGGGGATTCTGCAACAGTCTTCAGTGTGAAAAACGGTCATATGTCTCTCTTGTTTTCAGTACTGTTGTAACTTCGAATGGCACCAAACAAATAGTTGTAAGTAGAAATGTAGAATCTGTAGTTTCAAGAACCCAAACTTCAACCCTTACGGTATAGATAACCTATCTAATATAATTCTTCCCAGTATATTCGTGCTACAAATCAGGTACAAAATGGTTGAGTTTCCCTTTCCAACAGTCTCAAGAAAAACTCCCACTAGAATATTCCCTCAAAATAGCACTGGAATCCAGAAAATCCATAGCAGATTGACTGATTTATTCATTGATTGATCGATCGATTGATTGAATTTACATTGCCGCCTATTCGCCCATGGCAACTCAAGGCGGCTTACAGAATGTAAAACCATATTTAAAATGGAAAAACAATAAAAACTAACAAAAAAAATCAAATAAATTAATAAAGTACAATAGCACAAAATCTGGAAAATAAATACATACATACATACATAGATACATACATAGATACATACATACATACATAATCACCTCCCAACTCTGCCCCAACGACAACACATCACATGAGCCATTTGATGGGCTCCATCCTGCTCTGGGTTTCCCAGGCCCTCTGGCAGAACCAGGTCTTCAGTGCTAGAATGGGGGCCATTCTAATCTCTGGGAGAATGATGTTCCAGAAAGAGGGAGCCACCACGGAGAAGGCCCTTCTTCTGGGTACCACCAGGGGTATCTCCCTCAGGGATGGGACCCACAGCATCCCCTGCCTGACGTTCCTCTCAGATCACCTGGCCCCAAGCCATGAAGGGCTTTAAAGGTGACAACCAGCACCTTGAATTGCACCTGGAAGCAAATCAGCAACCAATGCAGCTCCCGCTTATAATGTTTTGAAGGGAAAATCCATTCTCTATGTTGGGATTTTCAGACATGGTGACTTTAAGACTTGTGGACTTCAACTCATCATGGCTGGTGGAGGAATTCTGGGAGTTGAAGTCCACAAGTCTTAACGTTGCCAGAGTTGGAGATCCCTGCTCTACGCCGTTGGCTCCAGGGTTGACGGCAACCCTATTGAACCGCAAAGCTTTGGTTCAACGAAACTAACCTGTAAAGCCTTCAGAATGGATGTATTCCCATGGGCATGAAAGAGGGACACCCACTGGGCAGCCTCGTGGCACATTTCATCGGTGGCCTCCACGAGGCACTCCTGCCAAAGTTGGGCCTCTTCTGCAAAAGTGATGAGGTTGAACCTGGAGAGAAAGCAAGTTATCTATCACCAAGCGACAATCAGACAACCACATAAGCAAAACTGCAGCGAGGATCATGTTGAGGTAAACTAAGTGACTAACAGATTCCATCATTACAATTGACACTTCTTCCCTGGGCAATTTGTTGACATTTCTAAGGGGGTGGATGAGAGAAATGAGAATTATTCCTGTGAAGAATAGAGCAATTGTAAAGCCATATTTATTTTCTGTATAACCTAAACATGCCTGATGGGAAATTATGTAAGGAATTGTGTAAGAATGTTAGCTGTAAGGAAATAACAAGGCTATAAAAGTCTGATAGCACACTTCCAGAAAGGAATTTAGTTGGCAGGTCAACATAACTTAGCTGGCAGGTCAACATAACTTAGCTGGCAGGTCAAAGGAAGATAGTTTGCAAGTCAAGAAACCAGGTGTCATGCTAAAATTAATAATGGCAGGGTATGGCAACGATCAAGGGAATTGAGTTGGTGGAAAGATTGTGAACCCGAAAGGGGCAGTCACTGGGTGTGGGTGTCTGAAACTATATTTAAACACCAATTATCCCTATGTAAAATGTCTTCTGTAGCTCTACCTATATGAATACAGGAGTCCAACTTTTGCAAAAGCTCAATAAAGCTGTTTTATTATTCAGGAATCTCCTGTTGATTTCAAACCGAGAATTTTAAATCTCACAGTGGAGAAGATCAGGTGGTCTTCCTTTCATTATCTCTGCAACATCCCACTACTTTCGAGCAAGGACCACCCTAGTTGAGTAATGTGTAGGGGGCTGACATTCTAAAATGGACTGACTGAGGTCATGACAAAACTTTGATTAAAGTTGCATCGACTTAGTATTCTTTCTAGTCATGTAAATCACACCTTCTACCATGTTAATATTTTGGTAACTATTTTTGAGATCTTTGAAGGCCAAACAAGGTACCTTAGGTTACACCCTCTGAATTATCAGCTCCCTTAGCTTGCTGTGATGAGGACTTCTGTGTGTATATAATTTAATAACAGGAATCAACTCCAAACACATCCAGTAGGTCAATTATTTCTTGCAAGTAGGACTTTGTCTGAGAATTCCCACCAGAACCTTCAGCAGATCAACTCTCTTCACTGATGTTTCCTCCAAAAATTCCCCAGTGCTGTAGCTATACAGGGTTACCCTACAACCAATTGGAGTTCTTATACGTCAACACAAAATAGAGAGCTCAATTTTTATCCCTTGGGGAGAAATTCGGGGGTGGGGTCAGGGGATCTCTGCTTATGAGGACAACTTACCAGTCTGAGACTGGTTATCACTGGAATGAGGTAAGCTACTTCACCTGCAGCTTCCTTACTTGGTGGCCTTCTTCCTCAGCTGTTCCCAGATAAGGGAGGTGAGCTCTTTAGCAACCAGACCCAAGGAGAGCTCCATGGAACCAGACGTGTCAATGAGAATGCAAACTTTGCCTTCCAAGATGACCCCAAAGAATCGGCGGCTGCCTAAGGAAGAGAATTGTTTGTTGAGCTATGGTTGGAAAGTCACTGTTGATTCCATGACTTCTTAGCTTCCAGCACTTTTAAGGCAAACCTAGGCTACAACCCTTGGCCCAAATGCTACAGAGGAATGGAGATATAGTGAGCCCTACAAAATCTGACACCTGTCAGGGTTTCAGCAATTGCCCTAATTAAATCATGGGCCTCGGGCCAAGCTTCAAAAGAATTTAAAAGATTTATTAGGAGCAACATGCTGGCATTAAGCTAAATGAAGCCAACTCCGGCATACGTAAGTCACTTGTGACCTTGTTTCACCCCTTCCCACCCCTTCCCTGGATGTATCATAAATCAGATTCTCCAACAAAGCACGTTCACAGGCTGGGTGTCATCAATCACGTTTTCCAATGAAGGATTTCCCCAAGGGCAGAAGATCCGATAGCCTAGCTGCAATCTTTTTAAGATAAGGGTGGCATGTACTTCTGGTTTTAAACTACTATACTGCTCCCACAGATCCAACCCCTTGTTTATGGCAACTTGAAAACATGCATAGGAATGTTTGACAAGTTGACAACACCCCAATCATTTCTACAGAGGTTGAAATGAAGGAACCAAAATTTCTCAACAATGGAGTACTTCTTGGACAGTGTCTGGAACAAGGTTGGGTTATGGCAGAACCCCCAATTCCACCCATACATTCTTGCATCAAGACACGTGTTTCATCATAATCTCCCTTCCCTTGCACATGCTATGGGCCTGAAATGGTTCAAAGGAGTTAGTTTTCCCCCAACTTTGGGGCCGCAGGGGTCCAATTCTGAAAGCAAAGAGCATAATAACTCTTGCCAAGGTGGTTAATAACGGAGCAACTCTTCAGTAGGATAGACAGACCCGAGAGAAGCCACTGTAGTCTTCGGACGTAGCATCGCAACACTCTCTCCATCTGTTCGATGTAGTCATCCAAATCCTTGGGTTGAATCTGCAGATGCTTCACCATCCCCTGGGAGACCAGATCACAAGATGTCACTCCGAGAGGTGATGGGAGCTCATGTCCTATCATGTAGGCTAGGCTAAGAAACCAAAGACGTGAAGCTCTAAGACTATTTTTACTGGAATGGCTCTTAGGAACAGAATCCTGTACATCTGAATGTGTTGTCCACCTCCCTCATTTTATCTTTATGTGAATTAGGGAGGGGCTCTTTTTATCTTCTAACTTTCTATCATCTATCCATTTCTGTCTAGTCTAGCTGCCTATTTCTGTCCATCTACTTGTGTGTCTTTCTGTCTGTTTATCCATGTAGTTACCCTGTGTCTATTTCTAACTAATTTATCTGTATCACATCTATCTATCTATCTATCTATCTATCTACCTACCTACCTACCTACCTACCTATTTCATCTATGTTTGTCTATCCATCCATGCATCTCTCTCTCTCTCTCTCTCTTTCTCTCCATCCATCCATCCATCTATTTCACTTATTTATCTGTCTGTCGGTCCATCTGTCCATCCATCTATCCATCCATCCATCCATCCATCCATCCATCTGCTAGTTTGGAAAGACTATGACCCTTAAAAGCAACCTATAAATAATAACTATAGCAAAGAAAGAAAGAAAGAAAGAGAGACAGAGAGAGAGAGAGAGAGAGAGAGAGAGAGAGAGAGAGAGAGAGAGAGAGAGAGAGAGA